ATGAAATAAAGAAAGAAATGCTTAAGCCAAATCGCAGTATCTTTCAGGTGGAGCAGAGGTAGGGAAATTTCATTTACTTGTTGAAACAATCAGATTGGAAAAGAACCAGCCAACATCTGCTTGGAGGATCTGAAAACAATGTGGCTAATAAACCCACCTGTGGGTGTGTTGGGGTGCAGGAAGCTTCCTCCTGTGGCAGGAAGTGGTCGCGGGGATAACATTTCACAAGGGTGGAAATTAGCATGGAGAGCCAGGGATGGTTGCCTCAGAAGCATTAGTTTGTTTCTGAAGGCTTTGAAAAGGGCTGAGGTCAAACTATGCATTTGCTGTGCCCTTTAAAAAATAATGAGAACATCTGGGTTTAAGTGCTGCTGTCGTCCTAGTCTACATTAATAAGTCACCATTTCAAATGGAGTGTGGCAGGAGGGCGCTGCTGGAAATCTGGCTCTGTCCTTGGTGTGGAAGAGAGGTTAATGGGTCAAACCCTAGAATAAAACAAACCCCTGAGCGATCCCAGGTTGGCCGTCACGGACACAGGTGGGGCTTCAGCAAGATGAAGACTTTCTAGCACGTTGTTGTCATGCAGCTCAGGGCCCGTCAATGGAAGGGCCTGCTGTGACAGTTGTCTCTGGAAACCTGCGCAGATTTGGATGAGGTCCAGGAGAGGGTCTGAGAGTGGTCAAAGCACGTAACCATCCAGAGAGCATGAGCGGCGTGTCAAACATCAGTGTCTTTATGTTTCTGAAGTGTTGGTCATTCTTGACTATACGTCACTGTAACTCCACCCTCACCATGATCCACCTGCCTGACAGGGCTGACTGGGGGTGGGGATCTAGGGTAGATGATGGGTGGCTTTAGTCAGGCCTCATTGGTACCCTCTGTGTGTTTTGCATCCTGCATCCTGGGATACCCAAGATATGGAAAGACTTAGGTGGAGGGCACGCTGATCAAGAGTGGGGCCTCGGGAGTGGACCACCATCCATTCACATCTTGCCTCCCTGCTTTCTGGTTGTGAGGACCAGAGCAAATGCTTTCTTGCACGAGGCCTCAGTTCCCCCTGCACAGGATGAGGATGAGGATGAGCATCACGGTGCTCCAAAGGGTAGTTACGAGGATAAAACGAGACACTACATTTAAATCATGCAGCAGAGTCCGGCTCACAGTGAATACCCACATAGTAATGTCCATTGCCAGCTCTGACTCCCAGAGCCGAGGCTGGAAGAGGAAAAACTGCCCTTGAGCGTTGGCAGCGAGGAGCCTCAGGCTCAAGCCCTTTGCTCTGAGGAGTGTTAGGCGGCCTCACCAAATACATTTTCTTGGCAGCTCTTCTTTTGGGGAGACTTTCCCCAGTGGTCAGGGCCTAGGGAAATTAGTCTCCCCTCTTTCCTCAACACTCCACTCAAGTCTAGGACCCTCAAGGTGCAACATCTACCCGGCACGGGGAACTCTTCCCATCCCGTCTCTGGCAGGGCTGGGGCAGGGCTCAGGAGCGGTGAGGAAATTCATGGGAGTCACCCTCAGAGGTGGGGCGGGGTGGGGAAGGACTGCAAAGTTCACAGGGAAACCAATCCCTCTTCCCCAGAGCAGAAATGGGGCCCAGCCCATGCCCACTGTGTGGGGGAGGAACGCCCTGGGCTGCGAAGCCCCCACCTCAGTTACAACCCCTCTCCCAGGCCCCTCCTGACGGTTGGTCTGCAGTGAGAACTGTACAAGGTAAGGCCCCTGGAGCTCTTCTCCCAGGCACACCTGGCGAGGCAGCTCTGGGGCAGCAGGCAGATGTGGGCACCTGCGCAGGGAGTGCGAGGGCTCCCAGTCTGTGTGCAGGTCCCGTTGGTGTGCTTCTCTGGTGGCTGCTGAGGCCACATCTCCGTGACAGGCACCGAGAGGTCACACACGGACGCGCACGCACAAACACACAGACACACTCCCCGCCTTCCCCGCCAAGGAGGTCACACAAATGCGTGCAGCCAGCTAAGTGCGAGACTAGTGGGGAGGCGTGGGTTTGTGCTGACCTGGAAACCTTATGATTGATTCAAAAGAAGAGAATTTTCTGGTTTTCTAAACACATCTGGCTGGGCACAGTCTGCCCATGGCCTGTCTCCTCCTATTTGGTGGTATGGGGCTGGCCATGGGGTGGGGCAGCATGGCCTGGGGACCACTGGGCGTGCTAACGAAGCTTCATCCACAGGGGCCTGGGTGGAGAGGGAGAGGTGAGCTCGGCCAGCCCCTGGGCAGCTGTGCAGGCATGAGGTGGCCAAGCTGCTGGGCCGTGCCCTGGGGGGAGACCCCGGGGCCTGTGCCTTCGGAGGCTCTGACAGTCACGGGTCCTGTCTGCAGAGGGAAGGAGGCCCAGGGGCCAGGCCAGTCGGTAGTGCTGCCTGGTCCCTGCAGGTGACTGTCTGGGTGGCCTTGGGTCACAGGCTTTTCCCAGCTTCTGGGGAACCACACTCCTCCCCACAGTGGGGCCAGGGTCTCCCGAAGTTTCTGCAAACTGACTGCCTGTGTCTCAAGCCTTATTTCCTCCCCAGCAGCGATGCCCCTGTACACGAGGCCTGGGCTTCTCAACGGGAATTTCACCAAAAAGGAGGCCGAAGGGAATAAAGAACGTGCAAACCTAATACACTGGAAACAGGCCAGGAGTTCCCCGATACTGCCAGGAAACGGGAGGTACGCCCAAGAGCACGAAGTCCTCTCTCTAGCTTCCCCGTCTCCTGCACTTTAGAAAGCCCCAATAAAGTGACCGAGAAGCCCGGCCAGTAAAAGGCAATCTGTGGCCTACTTTCAGCCTGGATCCTTTTCAAAACCAAGCGGAGGCCCGCCCTCAGCATTAGCAGCGCCCTCTGTGCGGAGGAAGGGATGTGGCCAGAGGAGCAGTGGTGTACGCCATGGCTGCAGACCCTTCCTCTGGCTAATATAAAGCGGATTTAAACGTCTCTAGCTAATCCATTAGGGTGGATACAGGTCAAAACAGATTCTAGAAGGAGGCGGGTCAGGCTCTAGGCAGGTGTGGCAGGGACGTCCCTGAGACATCTGCGAGCGGAAGGGCTGTGCTTCCGCTTCAGGGAACGGGGCTTAGAGGAGGCAGAGATAAAGCGGATTTAAACCTCTCTAGCTAATCCATTAGGGTAGATACAGGCCAAAACAGATTCTAGAAGGAGGCGGGCCGGGCTCTAGGCAGGTGTGGCGGGGACCGTCCCTGAGACATCTGTGAGCAGGAAGGGGTGTGCTTCCGCTTCAGGGAACGGGGCTTAGAGGAGGCAGGGCGGAGTCCAGATCAAGTTGTAGAACAGACCTTGAACCCAGACATGGGAACCTATGTAGGGTTCCCTGCCCCTCCCTGGGTGGGCAGTTGGGGGTCTGGGTAGTCATTCCCAGAGTGCAGGGGACAGGTGGCCCTGACAGTGTCTGGAGCTGGCTCCCCGCCAGCTCATCTCCTCGGTCTCAGCAGAGCAGGTCCAGACCTTCCTGGTGTCTGCGGGGTGGGCTTCCTACCCTGTAAGGCAGAGAGCTCTTGGGCAAGAGTCCCAGCCTTTTCGAAAGTCGAGGGACCAGGGCTCCAGGCCGGCTGTCCCTCTGACCTGCAACGTGACCTTGAGTAAGGTCATGCCCCTATTTGAGCTCATCTTATGTCAGGAGTTGTGGGATTAGGTCACCTCAAACGGCGGGTTCTGTGCTAACTCAGGGCCTCCATGCTGCAGACCCCACTGGCCAGTCCACCAGTGAGCCTGGCCCGGTGCCTGGGAGTGACCTGGGTCCCCTGAGCACTGAAGTATGTCATGGCTTCTCCCAAGAGGCTTTATCCCCAGTCCAGCTATCTGATCAGTTCATGCATCGTTGATCCTTCAAAAACCTGGCCAGCAGGGCCGGTTACCTCCATTGCACAGACCAGAAAGCTCAGTCCCAGAGGGCCCCGATGGCTCTCCCCAGGTCACATGGTGGCAGGTGGCAGGCTGAGGCTGGAAGCAGCACTGTTCTGGGAGTGACCTGGGTCCCCTGAGCGCTGAAGTATGTCATGGCTTTTCCCAAGAGGCTTTATCCCCAGTCCAGCTATCTCTGATCAGTTCATGCATCGTTGATCCTTCAAAAACCTGGCCAGCAGGGCCGGTTACCTCCATTGCACAGACCAGAAAGCTCGGTCCCAGAGGGCCCCGATGGCTCTCCCCAGGTCACCCGGTGGCAGGTGGCAGGCTGAGGCTGGAAGCAGCACTGTTTGAGTCTGAGCTGGGGGACATTCCCCATCCACCGAGATCCATGCATAGGATTTGGTCCAGTGATGGAGAAGGACTCGCTGAGCTGTGGGCGTCTCCTCCTTGTCCCCAGGGACAGTGAGGCCCAGTGCTCAGAGCTCAGAACACTGCTGCTCACTTTCCCAACACAGATCCTGGCCTGTGGGGGGCCTGGGCTAGGGCAGGGTTTGCCCTAGGGAAGTGAGAAGGCAGCACTCAGGGCCTTGGCCCCACTGGTTCTGCTCTGTCTGTCCTCCCACAAGTCGAGCAGCCCCGGGATTAGGTGGGTGAGGGAGAGGAGCCAGCCCAGGAACCACTTCCCCCCAGCCCTGCAGAGCATCGGGGAAGCCCGAGGTCTCCATGACCAGCCCTCCAGCTCAGCTGGGAATTCTCTCTCCACGACAGGGGCCCGTGGTGTGAATAAAGCCAGATGTGCTCTGCTAACTCTACAGCGAGGCATCAGCCTTTTACACCTTCACCTTCCGCCGCCGCCCCCTCGCAGCAGCCCCACAGGAGGTGGGGCCGACCCTCCACTCATTTCCAAGATGAGGAGGCGGAGGGCTCCCAAGGCCCTTTGGTTCCCAGTCCCCAGCTGACCCCCTGCACCCGCTGTGCCCCACAGAGCACTGTTCCTGGGGGTCTTGGGGAAGAAAGTGAAGGGCAGATATGGTCAGATGCACCTGCCCATCCCCAGCCAGCTGGCTTCCACCACTGGGCCAGCCCATCTGCTCTGCCCAGCACGCAGAGGACTACAGCAGGGAGGTGGGGTCCTACCTGCAGCGGTGGTGATGCCCAGGAGCCGGCAGGTGTATTCCAGCCCCGTCCAGAACACCTGCAGCTTCATGGTGCCGGGGCAAGGGCAGCGGCCCAGCAGGGCGGGCAGCAGCGGCTCTGGCCCGAGATGCTCTCAGACGTCCCGTGTCCAGGGAGGCTGTGGCTGCCAGCTTGGGGCCCTCGTGCCCTGGGGCCCTGCTGTCCCAAACCAGTCCCAGCCACTGCAGCCTGGTCGAGGTGTGAATGGACTCACCTTCCTGCCGGCTGCCTGTGCCTTTGCCAGGCACTCGGCTTAATCATTACCTTGGAAAAATGTCCCCACTGCTTTCAGCGGCTGCCATGGCCCCAGTGGCAGCCTGAGATCAGGCCGATTAGGGCTGGGCTGGAGGCAGGCAGCCTGGAGCTGGCAATCAGCTGCTTCTGGCTGGGAGGAGGGAGCCCGCCCAGGAGCCAGCCTGGGCTCTTCCGTCCTGGGCAGCTCAGAGACAGGCCCACCTGGACCTCGGGCTGCGGGGTCTGGGGAGTGGTGTCTGGAGGCGGCAGTGTGCAGGTGAGAGAGAGATGTGTCTCTAAATCAACAGCAGAAACACCCTCTGAGAGGAGTTCTCAGCTCTCACATTTTGGAATATTGGGGATTAGAAAGCTTTTGAGCCTGGGGCAGGTTTGGACTCTGGCCAGGAACACTAAGCTCAGACCCGCGTCACATGGGACCTTCCTTTATTCCCGACGCGTCTCTGGACATGTGATGTGGGAAATCACTACGATTCTTCGGGAGGGAGTTGCTATGACAATAATTAACTGGTGACCTTGGAGAAACACAAAGGTATTTGTGAGCCTCAGAAACTTGCAGAAAATAAGTGCGAGGGTTTGACTGGATTGGTGGTTCTTAAAGTATGCCCCGAGGGCTGGCCATTGTGGGCTTTCACTAATTCTGAATTTACTAAATTATGTAAGAGGTTGAATGATGCCAAGTGTTAGCTTTTCTCCCAGGCTTTTTCTGAAATCTTTACCCCCTAAAAAAAGTTTGTATTGATTGTTTTAGAAAGGAAGGGAGGAGAGAGAGAGAAAAAAAACACCAAAAAACATTGATCGGATACCTCCCACAAGCGCCCCAACTGGGGATCGAACCCATAACCTAGGTATATGCCCCGACGGGGAATCAAACCCACCACCCTTTGGTAAATGGGATGATGCTCCAACCAACCGGCCAGGGCTCATGTGACCTTTAAGACCAAGTTTCAAAATGTATGATTTGACATAACTATTTATTTCTTGGGTTAGCTGAATGTGTTTAACAGCAGACACAGATCTCGACACCTGAACCCCCGCCCCCAAACATTGCTACCTGGGCCCCTGTGGCACGCCCTGCACCGCGCAGACGCAGACGGAGCTGCTGGGCTGGGGCAGCCGAGGCTCCGGGGCAGGAGGCCCGTTCTCGCTGGCTGCCCTCCTTCATCGCTCCTTCATCCTCGGGAACAAAGCTGTTGTTCCTGACGCCTTTGGCCCTGGAGACAGGGAGCCCCTCTAGGCTTTGGGAGGTGGGTCTGGCCTCACCTTCCCAGTGGCTTTGGTTTAGGAATGAGACAATGACCTAGTTCTGTCAAAGAGTCTGGGAGCAGCATGTGCTGCTGGCTCCTGGGAAAGTGAACCTCAGTTTTAACCAGGCCCAAGGATAGGCTTTGTTCCTCCCGTAGGGTCCACCTGTGCTGGAGGGGAGCTAGCTCATGATGGGAGGGCCAGGGGCTGAGGCAAAGGCCTGAGCGGCGCCTGGAGCCTGCCCGGTGGGATGGGGAGAGACACTTAGCTGCTGGACTTCCTGATCCGTGTTGTTAAGCGGCCTTCCTTAGGCTCTATCGCAGCTGGAAGCATCTCTCCTGACACAGTGGGTGGTGCCTGAGCCGAGTTCTCTCCACAGCTGTTTCCTCGCGAAGCTCTTTTCTGCGCGTCGGGCCCAGGTGGAGGACTAGAGGCTGGGGGTTTGGGTGCTCTTCCAGCCTGAGGGTGCCCCTGCCTCACCAGGGCTGCCCCTAAGTGGAAGGAAGAGGGGGTGTGGGGCTGGTGGTGGAAGGAGAGGAGGGCGTATTGCAAAAGTAAAATCTCAGAGAGGGCCCGTCTTGAAGAAACTGCAGACTGACCGAGGTCATGACCCCTCCTCCCCCAGTCAGCCTTCTGTGAGCTCTGCGGGGAGAGGAGGCACCTGGCTGGGCGGACCAGTTGCCTTGACCTCAGAATCCGAGGGAAGGTTGCCAGGAGCCAAGGGCCAGAAGCCCTGCAATGGAGGCTGATGGAGGAGGTGGTGAAGTACCCAGTACCCACGTCTGACCTGCAGTGGCTGCTGGGCCTGGGGAAGAAGAGAACCTCTCTGGCATTTCCTAGACAGTGGTCGGCAAACCGCGGCTCCCGAGCCACATGCGGCTCTTTGGCCCCTTGAGTGTGGTTCTTCCACAAAATACTGGTTCTTCCACAAAATACCGACTTCTGCACATGGGCCACGAAGTTTCAATCGCACTTTACGTGCGCACCCGCACGTGGTATTTTGTGGAAGAGCCACACTCAAGGGGCCAAAGAGCCGCATGTGGCTCGAGAGCCACGGTTTGCCGACCACGGTCCTAGAGGAACCCGCGGACGCACAGAGAGCTGGTGAGGGGCTGAGAAGGGGTAGGACAGGGGGAAGGAGAGAGAGCTGTGGGTGGCTGTGTGAAACCTTCACAGAGGGTGGAAAACACTCCGAGTGCCCAGAGGGAGTCTAAGATCACAGCAGCATGGGAAGCTCTGCATGTGGGCGACGTGGGTGCTACACGGAGCAAGTGCATATCAAGTCTCATTGTGTCCTAAGGAGCCCAAACTTGCACTAGCGAGCAGAAGTTATGGGGGAAACAGCTCTAAGCAGGGGAGGTGTCCTCACAACCGTTCCCCACTGGTAGGACGGGCTGTTGTGGGCGGCCATGACTCCCGGGAGGCCTATGAACATGGGGGGTGGGGACTGTGGGCAGGGCTCCAGCACTGATCGGGTGGCTTGGACCTGGGTTCTAGATTCCAGATGGCTGTGGTTCCTGAAGGAATCCAGGCAAGTGCTCCAGGAAGGGCCAGGGACAGCACCTGGGAGAGGAAGGCAGGGGCCGGGGCTTCCTTCCTGGCCTGGCTCCTCTTCTGGTCCCTGCCCATGGTCCCCGAGGTGCTGGGCCAGGGCAGAGAAGCGCTGTGGGGAGATGAGGGAGGGGGAGGCTCACTTTTCAGGTAACATGTGTGGCCTGCGACATTCCTTATCCCCCCTCCAACCTAGTCTCCTCTTGTAATATGGTGAACAGGGTGTCTTCCTGGGTCCGAAGTCCCGTGTCAAAGGTGCCTGCCTAGGGCAGATGCCAGGAAATGGGAACTGATGTTACAAGTGAACAAAGAAAACTGACTTCTCTGGGGCCAACCTAGGTAGCTTTAGTTGCCACAGGATCCACTCACCGAGCCAACAGCACACGAACTGGGGCACAGCCGGCCCTGACCTCATGGAGACCAGGGCTCCCCCAGAGCTCTTTTCTGTGTGGCTTCATTTCACGGTATAGCAACCAGAGTGTCTGAGTGCTGTAGCCACAGGAAGGCAGGCTCACGCAGTCAACCTACAGAAACCCAAGCCACTTGGTAATAAAATGCCCTGTTTCCAGGGCTGTGAGAACTAGTGGTGATGTCAGTGACAGTCATAATAACCAGTGTTTGCTCAACATTGACTGCATTGCAGGTGCTGTGCAAAGTGCGGTATCTACGCCCTGTTCCTCATAGAATTCACATTTACAGAGGGGGCACAGAGTCTAACAACTAGAGGTGAAGTGCATTTGCTCAGACTCACACAAAACAGGAATGAGGGGACGACGGGTCCAGCAGCCTCAGCCCCGCCCCTCTGCCGCGCCCTCTAGTTTTCAGGTGTGTTCATCATAAATCTGCCCAGTGACAGGAGACCGCCCCTGTGGCCCTGGCGCATAGCATTTGGGGGGTGGGGGGGGACTTTAGGTAGAACTGGGCATTGCTTTCCTCACAGCTCTGGGATCGGAGGAGGCAGTGGTGATGTGGGGGAGCGCTCCCCTGTTATATCCGGGTGGTAGCCCATGGAGTGCAGGCCGGGTCCGGCTCCCTCTCTCCCCTGGCCTGGCCTGGAGCTTCGGTGTGAAGCTGTGAAGCTTCACCGATACTCGCTGCCACGGGCCTGGCCACACATGGTGCACCATTGGTCGTAGCACACAGATTCCAGATGCCAGGATGGCTCTGGAGCTTGAGAAGTCGGGGAAAGCTGAAGTGTGGGTATGTATGTGCCAATCTTCACCTGCTGGCGGTGAGGAAACTTGCACAAAATAGTAGGAAGCTCATGGGCGTCACTCAAAAGCAAATGCTGGGCCCTGGGAACCAATCCCTGGAGCTGCTCTAAGACTTTGAGCTCCTCAGCTTTCCCCGTCCCCTCACCCCTCGTCTCAGTGTCTGCGGAATAAAACGGAGACCTCAGACCTGCGCCATGCAAACCCCATGTGCTCCTCTTAGCTGCACCCAGTCCTTGCCTGTCCTTTCCTTCCGGTGGGGGCAGCGGGGTTGTCCTCATGTGCGCTTTCTTGCCTGTCCCCTGGGACCTGGGACCGATGTCTTCCGACTGTCCCTTCCTCCTCTCCCCTGTGCTCACCCACAGCCCCGGGCGAAGCTTCCCTGCAGGACCCCGCTTCCCCTGCAAACCACACGTGGTCTCTCCTCCCTTCCCACCTCAGGCTTTTGAAAATGGTCTCGTTGTCCACTCCCTCCCTTTATTCCTTTACTTTCTGTTCACTTGTCTGTTTACTAACATGTGGTTTCCACCTGCGCCCATGCCGAGGTGATCATGCTGGCCTGGCCGCTGAGCGCCACACCCAGCAGCGTGATCTGTGCTCACTCAGTCACTCCGCTCCATCTCTTGGGCTCGGTAGCACTTGAAACTGTTAACTGCTCCTTCCTCCCGAAACTCTCCCTGCGACGTTGTCCTCTGTTAATCATCCCGCAGACATCAGAGCCTGTGTGGCTGCACGCAGCAGGAGTGGTAGTAGCCACCCCTACAGTAGCCTATCAGAGACCCTGCCTTGGTCACTTTCGTGCACAGACGCAGAACATGGGCCTTTTCCTCCGGGCTCGGCCTCCCTGTGTCCTCCAACACCCAGGCTGCCCGGCTGGCCAAGAGGTGACCTTCATGCTTCAAACCAGGAAAATGGCCTCGGAACAGCTGTGATCTGGGCAATGGGAGCCCCTTCGGATGGCTGTGAGGCCTCCCCCTGACAGTCACCGCTTTCTTGGCCGGGACTCTTTCTGGCCTCCAGGCTTACCCTGCCCTGCCCCTGTCCCAGCACACCCCAGTGCCTGTCCCAGCACACCCAGGGCCTGTCCCAGCACACCCC